AAATAGCTAAACAACAAACAATAACATATCAATAAAATATAATGATAGAAAATTAAATCATTTGTTCCTAATATTTATATTGAGGTGAAATACAAATATCGGGAAGAACGGTTGAAAAGTAAAAGGGATAACGGCTTCTTATAGTGCATACAATAGTCTACAGCAACTAAAATGAATATAAATGTTCCATACCAGTGAGATTTTTGGGTAGTTTTACTTATCCGCACTGAGTGCGGAAAAGTATTACTTTGCGCACGCAAATGAGTGCGGATAGGTACTACTTTGCGCACGCTGGTAGGAAAATGTATTTTCTGAACCGTACTTTTTTCCCGATATGTTGAATGCTATATTATTTCCGATTCTTTTAATGATATCGAAAACAATATTAAATACAACTGGATGTGGCTTGACTAGTGGTTTGACACGAATTTTCCGCGTCGTTGTATTGGTCGCTTGAAAGATTTAACAGCAACCATCTCCCATTGTATCCCCGCTACTGATCCAGATTGGACACATGCTTGAAAACATTGCTTATTTATATCTATCGAAAACAGTTCGTTTCTAGAAGAAAATTGAGGAGCAAGAACAGCCTTCAAATTGAACGATTCACCCTATTTGGTAACTGAAAGATGCCAAAGGCGTACTATGAAAAAGTTGGGTAAGGGTAAGCCTCTACCCCCAAAAATGTATCACCCTGTAGATTTTGAGAATCTTCAAAACGCTTCAAATGATGATCTCCTAGAAAGTATTGACCACACCCAATTTCAAGTTGATATATCTAGAAGTGAGCGAGATATTCCAACTATTGATAAATGAAAATAATTACTTTTGACCTCTTGTAGATCCGCTACTGATCGGGATGTTTATATGAATTGTTTTGATTAAAATTATGGAATCTATCACCCATTTCAATTTTCACCTCAAAACATGGATCACCTTTTATATATTTGTACCTAACAATGATATTTCTTGATCTACAATAATCAACAATAGAACAAAATCTTCAGCTTCTATACGGGGTGTTTTTGAAATGAGAACATATATTCAGCACATCAATATGATACAGTCTAACGAATATTCTCATGATATCAGATTTATTCTAATTATTTAAATTAACAAGACATTTCATTTCGAAAATTGAACAGACATCAGAATTGCTACAGTGCTGCACTTTGGGTGGAAAAAATGGGCCTCACCCCAAATTTTATTCTGATCCCAACATTTTTTTATTGGTCCATTCGATAGTATACGTGGAGCCGTCGAGCATTCTCAGGATTCGAAATATTTGCACTTCTATTAATGTCACCCTGTATACAATATATGAATACAATTAATGTACCATGAATTCATCAAAAATTTATGAATTTATCAAAAATTAATATGAAACAATATTGAAAAATGTATTTCACGACAAAGAAGAATCTAAATCTTCAAATACATTAATTTCTTTAGTTGTCGAAGCATAACTGAAAATGGGGAGTGAGAAGGTTAGAGTAATTTTTGAGTATCTGGTATTTTGAGGACATAAGCGACAAGAAAACATGCACATTTTGTTTTCCACATTCCTTCTCATGTCTAGAGATTATATGTGGGAAGTTTCTCTCAGTTCTGTTGTTTTAACAGTACCAATGATAGTCTGGTCGCCTACGGCTCATGCTGCGGACTCCATTCTCGTGGGAAATCATTCATCCTTCCGTGCTCGTTGAACAATATACTATACTGACATCCCAATATCATTATTGAATCGCAAATCATTTCCATACCAGTATTCTTCCAGATAAAAAATAAATCTCCGGAAACCACAGTCTGATTATAGGTAATTACTGACGATACGAATAACACCGAAAAAATTCCAGGGGTGATTCCTGGTGATATTTTAGGAAATAAAGTTCATAAAAAACATGTGTCCTAACTTGCTTCGTTTTCGAGATACAGGGTATTAATATTTCTCAATTGTCGTTTCATCAATTTCAATGAAACGTTGTGGTTTTGTTGTTAGTAATATGGAGCATCTTTTAGTACAATTGGAATCGAAATAATATTTCCAGTGGTGTCACAGGGGGTAAATTTATCGATATGCATGGTGAATGTCATTGTACACCACCCGTTTTTCTGAGTTTCATATCTTCATCAGATTGAACTATTGAAACAGCAACTTTTTTATCCTTTGTATGATTTTTGTACCTAGCTTAGGAAGAAATAAAAATTCGATTCGACTCCAAATTTCGATGTAGGTGTTCTCAAGACTTCCATTGAGATTACTCAATAACCCCAATGAGAATTATTTTGAAATTTTGAGGCTTTCTCAGTCTCCATCCATACTGACTGAATTTTGGCACCAACTTCAACATCCTGTATCTCAAAAACGGAGCAAGTTAGGACAGAAGTTTATATGAACTTTATTCTCTAGAATGTCACAAGCAAACACCCCTTGAACTTTTTAGGTGTTATTTAGACACACCCTGTATATAGAATGAATGAAATAGAATGGTATAATGTGAATTTGGCTGCACGGTTTTCTGGACAGGTAAATATATTTCAACCTGTGGAACGTATGCCAGACTCCAGAGTCTTATATATTGTGCTGAGTAAACCAAGATAAGATGAATGGCTGCGAGTCTAATCCCCACGGAGAGCTCGTTGGCGAAGGCATTACGAGTATTTTGTGGAAGAGTTTGTTATATTTTAAGCCGGCAACATCGAGTTTAGGACCTAGACTCACATTTTATAGTTATACCTACATATCATAGTGTTCGAAAAAATACGAAAACATCAGTTCGGAACTGATTCAGAAATGTTTTAATGTCGAGGACTGTGGATTAGGCAAGAGGATGTGTATTGTGATTCTTCAATTTAGGACTGTTTCATCAGATCTTCTGTATGGAAAATATTTGTACATATACGAAATTCCAACTGATTTTTATCTTGAGAAATCTGACATTAGCCATCTTGATGCTATGATTTATATCAAATAGTATAGTTTGGGAGGAAATTGAATCCTGCATCACTTGGAACGAAAAAAGACTGCGTGGTTCAATTTGAATTAACCAAGGTATTATGTTACAGTGAGAGTACCTGGCAATATAAAACACCCCGTATAATATTTATCGACCACTTATGCCCCATCTATTAGTTCGAAGTAGGTATTCGAAGTACACTGTTCAAAATTGGTACATTCAAATTATCGTGCTTCAATGATATCATCGTAAAATTCAGAAATGCAATCAAATATAGGGTGTTTCATTTAAAAGAGTACAACTTTGATGAGCTACCTTTTTTAGAGACACTCTGTAATCGTCACACCATTTTTAAAATGAGGAACAGATGTACATATTTTCGCCTAAATAAAATTATTTCTCAGAAAGTTCACCATTTGGCCATTATAACCCGATGCGTTCAGCTTGATCCATCCTGTATAACACTTATATTTGCTTGATTGAAGTAAATATTGCTTGATACCGTACAAAAAAAAATCGAAACAGCTCATGAGCTGGGACTTCCAAAATAAAGTTCGAAATATTGAGAACAAAATAAAACACGATTAAAAAAATCCTGGAAATTTGTTTCCAATAGGAAAAAAACTGACACTAACACAAACTATGCATTATACGACGATGTGATTGCTCAGGGCGGACGAGCCGTCAGTATGGTCTATTCGCTGAATTTTTTAGTAGTGTATTTGTTGAAAATAATACTGATACTCCAGATTTGACTGACAATTTACCAAATTGGATTGGGACGGTCAGTGCGGAATCCGTTATTTCCATACTTACGTCATTAGACGGAAACAAATCGGCTGGGCCTGACAACATTTCACCACTATTCATTAAGAATAATTGTAAAAACACTCCACTTTTCCGTCTCAATGTAAAGTGGCAATTATTACACCGTTATACAAAAGTGGACACAGACACTTGGTAAAAAACTATAGACCAATTAGCAAAGTATGTATTTTCGCAAATCTATTCGAGAAGATCATTTATCAAGAGATATTAGCATCCGTGAGAAACGGTTTCTTTCCCAAAAAAAGTATCGAGACGAATTTATTATGTTTATCTGATTTTATTTCCGATGCTCTAGATAAAAGAATTCAGGTAGACACTGTGTACACATGGTGTACACCGACTTCAGCAAAGCATTCGATAAGATAGATCATTCTATTCTTGTGGAAAGGCTTGCGGGGGTCGGTGTACACAGATCGCTTTTGAAATGGATCTAATAGGGAGATGATGGTGTCAGTGAATGGATTCAATTCACATACCTTCAAAGCAGTTTCCGGTGTTCCGCAGGGTAGCCACCTTGGTCCATTATTTTTTATCATCTATATAAATAATATAAAGAACTGTTTCGAACATTGTCGAATACTACTATATGCTGATGACTTGAAAATATTTTCACTTGTAAAAGATGTCGACGACTGCTTGAAAATTCAAAGTGACCTTGACAGGCTTGCTGATTATTGCGAAAATAATAGTCTCTTTTTGAACTCAATCAAAACCTACAAAATTAACAATGACAACCTTGAATATATCAGCGGAATCAAAGATCTCGGCGTCACACTGGACACAAAATGGACTTTCAACAGTCACATAGACAAATTGATCAACGGGATAAACAGGATGGTTGGGTTCATAAAAGGAAACGGGAAATATTCACATAATTCTGAGACTATCATCTCGCTATATTATATGCATTCGTCAACGGCAAGGTCACGATCCCAATTCCTCTCTCGACATTTTCTCGACATATTTGCCTCGTTTAAATTTTTTTTTTGAAAAGTATGTTTCTCAATTCAGATCAATAGTTGAAAAAGTTAAAAATGGTTCCTCATTTCCTGTACTCGTTCTTTTATGATCTATTATGTCTTAGAGAACTTAGAATAATTCTTACAGAGTGGATGCTGTTTTCTGGAACTTTGTTCTGTTAGCAACCTGAGATGACAAATGGAAAAAAAATTAAGAATAGAAAAGAATATTCATCGATGCCTCTTTGTATTCCAGGTTATTGTCCAGAGGTATTCGACAATCTGCTCTACATCATGCTACACGCAGAACTATGTTGGCCCGAATCACCTCCAGGGACTACGGTCAACCATTCATGTCCGAAGATTCCACTGTTGGGCTTCGATCCCAACAGGATGGCCTACAAAGACTGCCTCGAGGATGGTACCTGGTTCGTGATCAATAATGACAGGCAGTGGGCGAACTATACAGAGTGTGTGAATATCGAGGAATTCGAGGTAATTTTGAATTTGGGTTCCATCCCTACATCTGCTATGCCCCAAGATTATTTGATGGATATTGAACACCATGGTAGTGAAGGATCATATATCATTACTATAGCTGACGTGTTTCGCTATAATATATATCATTTCTAGAAAATATTTCTTGGTTAAATATTCATCAACACAATTCAACACTTTATTCTCCACTTCTTTTCTGTTTGGCTATCCATAGAAGCGTGTTTCTTCAGTTTCTTAAACAACTATTCATTTTCCAGTTCTCTTTAGTTCGACAATCTATAAAAGCATGATTCATTAGTTCTTCAAACTACTATTCATTACTAAGCTCTTTCCCCATATAGAATCCGCCATCTTCAGTTCACCAATTCTGATGGAAAATCATAATCTCCGACCCCAAAAACCTTCAAATACCAATTTAAAATGAAATCAAATCATGATTAGAAAGCATGTTCGCCATATTGGATCGACCATCTGGAATCTCCCAATTTTTACGGAAAAATCATAATCTCCAACTCCAAAAAACCCAGATACGAAGTTTGAGTAAAATCAGATTATAAATACAAATCTTGCCCGCCATATTGGATCCACCATCTTGAATTTCTAAATTTTCACGAGGAAATCATGATCTCTGACACCGAAAACCTTCATATACTAATTTTGAATAGAATTATAGATCATAATTACAAAACTCGCCCGCCATATTGAATCCGCCATCTTCAATTTTCCGATTTTGAAAAAGGAATCGTTATCTCCGACCCTGAAAACCCAATTTTCAATAGAATCGGATCATAATCACAAAACTCGTCCGCCATCTTGAATTTCCCATTTTTACGAAGAAATCCTAATCTCCTACCCCTAAAACCCCAATCACCCAACACCAAACTAGATTGAGGGTGTTTCGTAATTGAAGCGTAAAATACACAGAACAAAAAAGGTAATAGAGGGTATACCACATACGATTTTAGCAAGAAAAATAATGAAGTTGAGTCGACATTCATTGCCAGTGACCGTGACCCTAACTATGTACAATCTAGAAGTGACTCAAGGGATTAAAATACAGTACTATGTATTTTTTTCCGAATGTGGCTTGTCACATTGATACCATTAAAAAATAAAGCGTTATAAAGTATTATTTTAATGGCATGTCACCTGGCTTTTTATATAATTGCATTTTGGTTTAGGTGAGCAAATAAAAAGAAAGAAAAAACAAACACATCCGACAAAATTCCAACATGTCGATGAAGGCATATAGATATTAATAGTGTTATTTGAGATCGAAAGGAAAAATTCGACGAAATTTAGGGCAACAGTATGTCAGATTTGGGGTAATTATTTTAAATGGAAAACCTATAATAGGGTATTATCAATTATTTAATTATCCTCAACTATATTGGTATCAAGAAAACGAGTGAGCCTCTCAGATCTATTGAAGATGCAGAGTGTAAGTTGCTGAAATATCGCTGATCCCTCAGACAATACTAAATATTTTCGTTGTTTGGTAATTTGTGTTGAAAAAATAACACTCCGATATATTTTCTCCATAACTAATCATTTTTTGATATACTCATATTATTTCTTCGAGCTCATCTGATTCCTGAAATAATTTTCTACCTCTATGATATTTGATAATCTCTTTGCCAACACTGTGGGAATGCTCTGGAAATGAAGTAACAAGTGGTATATCAACTCCCAACTCTGGCAAATTTATATAATGGAATTAAAGTTCCTGAAACTCAGTTGTTCAGTTCTCATTGAGGTGGCTCGACTCTAATATCTTGAACACCAACTCCCAACATTCAACTTTTGCAAACTGATTTTGCTTTGATAAACCCAAACTTCAATGTATACGGAATGGTAATGTCATTATGCATAAACTGGCTATTGAATCGCTGTAAACGAGTGGAGAAGTCTATACTGTTCAAAGTGGAGTGGAAGTAGTTGAAGGAAGATAAAATCTCTATGTCGCCTCTACGACATTTGGTAGAATAACATGGTTAGGTTACAAATAGGGGGTCATGTTTCGAGCTAATAATAAGCCTAATTATTGTAGGAAGTTACAGTATCTCTTGTCTGATGGATGGGCTCATTATGAGCCCGAATAAAAAGCAATCTGCCAAATGTCTTGTAGATGACTTAGAGTTTCATTTTTTCTTCCACAGGTCGCGTGCACGATGACCGACCCTGGAGGCAAAATATTGAAACACAACCTCACTCTTCTGTGCATTATTGAAACACAACCTCACTTTTTCATTTGTTTCCAGAGGAATCGAAGGTTTTTTGCGCTATTCATGAATTCAACTTCAAGCATGCCTTCGCATTGTGCTGTTGTACAATGCACAAAAAATGCAGCGAGAGAGGAAGGAATATGATTTTTCAGGTAAATAGTAATCTCACATAGTTATCATTATGGAATGTTGTCATTCCTTATTGAAATTCCTTCTGCCTTCTGCCACTTCTGCAATACAAGCGGATACTGCTAATGGATTGAAAATATCTACAACACACACGATCGTCAGCATGTCAGACCAGTCAAGGAATTCCGATGAGAAATCAGGAAAATTACCAAATTTCAAAAATGAAAACTATCTGTGAGTGACTATAGTAGGTACTTACTTTTAAATCATAATGTACCAACCTGATTCCTTCGTCTTCCGCTGCAGTTTTTGTGCATTTTACAACAGCTCAATGGGATGTCATGAGCGAATTGATGAATAGCCGAAAAATACGATTCGTATGCCAAAATAATTGTGAAAAACTCTTTCGATCACTTGTAAACAAAAAAGGAAAGTGAGGTTGTGTTTCAATGTTGTGCCTCCAGCGTCGGTCATCTGACAGTTTTTGCACGCAACCCATTTGTTACACATCATATTACTAAGCACTGAATACAAAAACCATCATATTATAAACTATTCTGAAATGCACTATCCTAAGCGATATTGAACCTTGATGAACGGAAGGCACTCTGCCCACAGAAGAACGATCGGACGTTCAACGAATTGGTCTGAACCGTTCTGAACACGAAATAGTACCTATCTACCTATATCACGTAACAAGATTGGTGAAACGCATATTACGCATAAAGTGGAGAGAGTTACATACGATGCCGCGTAGCGTAATCGCATAATTGCTTTACATCGAGAAATGTACTATACTTTTTCTACGACTACAATATATTTCAGGATTGTACAGATATTGTGTTGAGACACAAATATCGAATACGTCTCCCGTCTCTTATTCGACACATGTTTATATCAACTTTATTTTTTTAAATATCACAAGGAATCACCCATTGACTCTTTTCGTTGTTATTTAGATACACCCTGTATAATGGAAATGACATTTTGAATGAATAAAAAATAAAAAAGGAATATTCTCAGATGAATTATGAACATACAAAAATGGATATATATATATATATATTTATATAAAGAATAAAAAATATTTTGAAAGTTCTTGACGAAATGGAAATATGATTTAATCATGATTTGACACCGAATAACCCTGCTCTTGTCGTAGTTTAGGAATGTCAAATTCGAAAGCGAGCTTTGGTTTGGCGGCCATTTTCATGGGTATCAGCTGCGAAGATGTACTTTGCATACTGTGTAGAGAATACGAAGTTTTATCTTCGCGTACGATTGCACCAAAATGTATCATGTCGCAATCTATATACCAAAATACTTATCTTCTTCCATCCCTTATGTCACTCAGTATCTCTCAAAACTGCGTTATTCCTATTTAGCTAATTTATAATTTATATTTCTGTGGAGACACGTAACGAAGCTGAATTGTTTTGTGTTCCGACAAAATCTTCTCGTCTACTAACCGGAAATGTCTTGCCATTCTCTTTCATTGCAGTCTACATCCGTTCAGTTAAGATAGCGCAACGCAGATGGGATCATTTCTATGAAAATTCTAAGAAATCCGAGAAGTGGAATCGTCAAAGAACTTTCGCGATCAGTGGTAATTGAACTGGATACAAATGAAATTTGTTCCTTGGGATCCCGTATTCGATTTTGTGAAGAAGTCAGGTATTAATTTGAATCAAATTGATTGCTAGTTGAAAAGAAGCTTGTAATCGTTAATGTTTATAACAGGAAAATTGTTCGATTTTTTTTCAATTCCAAAGCAGTGAGGTTTCTTCTTGGATAAGTATAGACAAGGAATTTTCAGAGAAGTGTCAATAAAGAAAATTGAAGACAATTTGCCAAGAATAATTTTTCAATTTTAATTTTGAAAACTTGAACAGATTTAGTTCCCAAATCGTCCAAACTCATTTTCTGATTCTCCCGGTGTTAAATCATTTTTCAAAATATAATGTCACTCACGTTTGATTGAATGTCCTTCTCCTACGACCACCTATGGAAACAGCACAAAACACATTGGTTTGTTATTGAGAAAGTGACTCGTTTCACTATGACAACATATAACAGTTAGAAAGTTCGTAAGCAAAACTCACAAGGGTGGAAATATTCGAAAATCGCACAGTAACAGGGTCTATAGATTATGATGCACCAATGAATGATTATTATGCTGAATTATGGTGAGTTAAGTTATGGTCAAGTTAATGGAAAGTTAGTGTCGATTTAACATGAGTTATTGTCGTTAATGTTGACGTAATGTTAAGTTGATGAAAAGTTGAAATCAAGTTAATTTCAATTGAAAGTTGAATTAATGTCAATTTATTGGCAATTTAGTGATTGATGTGAAGTTAATGTCAATTTGATATTGAGTTGATGTTAATTTGATTTTAAGGTAATGTCAAGTTGATTTTGAGTTAATGTTGATTCAATGTTGAAATGATGTTGAATGATTATTGGGTTAATGTTAAGTTAATGTTAAGTAGATGTTAGGTTAATTTTAAGTTAATGTTGAGTTGATGTTGAGTTAATAAAGAGGTAATTTCAAGTTAATGTTGAGAAACTGTAAAATTATGTTAAGTTGATGTTAAGTGGATGTTAAGTGGATGTTAAGTTGATGTTAAGTTAATGTTGAGTTAATGTTAATTTCATAATGAGTTAATGTTGAGTTAACGTTGAACTAATGATGTCATTCAAATATTGAAGTAAAATTAAATAATAATGATAATGATATCTCCTTCATGTGATCGAATATGATTAGAAACATGATCCCTACTCTGGTCTCATGACATATAATATAAATATTTGTGGTCGTAGGAAAAATAGTGTACAAAACTCGTTGAAAAGTGCATTTCCTGCGCTCGTTTCGTTCCGAAATATGTCACTTTCCACACTAGTTATGTAATATACTATTTAAGGCTCTCTTATACATATAGTCCTACTCTCAAACGCAGTGACTTTTTGGGACGAATCAGCTGATTTGTTTATACTATACGAAGGAAAGAATCAGAGAAAATTCCATGAAATCTATAGAAATGAAGATTTCAATTCTACCTCTTTGATTAACCTATAGATTATTGTATATAAAGAGTATAATGAATCAAATCCTCCCTGAAGATTTTTCCGTGAATTGTGCTGGTATAGGCAACTTCAACTCCCTCACACACTCACTTTCCATCCACTCACTGGTCGAACATTTTTTCACACTTTTTCATTAATCTCTTGCAGCGCATGAAAGAACATTTCTATATCAACTTCAATATTCCAAAGAGACAAATGAGTGTTTCTTTCCTTCCTTTCTACTCAGATGGCGTTGCTTTCATATTGTCAATGGAGGACGCTTCAATGCCGACTTGATTTTTGTTTGGCTATAGGCATCGCTTAGTCGGCGGTCTAAGGGCTGCTGACTGGAGACTGCCCTGCACTGATGAGAGTCAAAGAGCTCGAAACCGGTCTGTAGGTTTCTAGCGTGGCCTGGCTGAATCGAAATCAATAGGCATTCAGGAAATAATCAATTGTATCAGTATTATGTTTATACAAGTCGATGCATAGATTTCGGGAGGCTGTAATTCAATGTTCTGCATGGCTTCAGCCAGGAAAAGAGTTATTTTTTCTCCCGAAATCTACCATTGTTGTTCATTTCATGAACATTGTGTGGAAATTACTTTCAGCTTCTTGTATTTATTTAAAAATTGGAATCGTAAACTATGAAGTTTTGTTCCTGCGGCAATCCAGATAAGTACTGATAAAAGGTTTGGATTGTCATGAAATTCATAAATTTGCCAATATCTCCAAAACTATCAATATTTTACGGAGGTCATATTATGATATTCTGATTAGTTACGAGCTGTACTATCAGCCCTTCAAAAGATGACGTAGAATTTTGGGACACCCTGTATAACTATACCAAATTTCAGAAAAATCCGTTCACGAATGCAGAACTTATACAGGGGTGGCCCGATACCCTGTGTATATAATTATGTATATGACCCCACAGGCTGGAAGGTACGCTAGAAGAAAGACATTGGTGTGGAATTACCTTTGAAGTTGCCGTTATGTTATGTTAACTATTTTTTGATTTTTTCATTTCAGTTTCTCACGTTCATCAATAGACTTCACGTCATTGGATATTCGGTATCGTTGGTGGCCTTGATAATTTCATTATGGATATTTCTTTCCTTCAGGTGAGTTGTTAGTTTTTTGAACTCTCATACTGTTATTTTCATTTCCTGAGCTAGATATATATATGTTTATGTTTGGCATGTCAAAATACGCTGTAGTAAAATGACAGATGTGTTCAATAAAAATAAAAACTCTCCACTTAGTGCAATAAACAACCAATTCTTTTAATAAAAATAGTTCAATTGCATTTTGTTTGCTGCATGAACGAACAAAACAGTTATTTATTATTTACGTAACAAGAAAAATACTGTTTTTTGGACAAGTAGACAGAATTCTAGGCCGTACCGTAGGCGAGTCCTCGAAGTCTGCGAGTCCAAAAAAAACTGTTTTTGGACGTATTGTGTACACAATTTCTTCGGCAACCATGTAGAATAACAAGTCAATGAGACACATTTTTAAATTATATACCATGAAGAATATCATTTCGAATATTACAATTGTTATTTGCATCAAATATTCAACTCTTAACAGAATACCTACCCTAATAGCACGCAACGTCCTAGGGACGTCCCTATTTGGTACAATTCACGTCCACGAATGTCCCGAACCAAAAATAAGTGTCCTTGGGACGTCTCATCCCGTACATCTCATGCAATGTCCAAGCAAGGACGTTCACGGAATGTCCCAGCTGGTACATCATTTTAAATGTCCTAGAAATAGCCTCCCTTAGACGTCCCACGTGGTACATATTGTAGAATGACCATGCAAGGACGTCCTTGGCATGTCCCTGATGGGATATGATTTTAAACGTTCCTTTAGGGACATCCATCGGATGTCCCGAGTAGTACATATTCCGGCATGACTTCAGATCTTATACAATGTCCCTTCTGGACAACCATGGATTGTCCCTGATGGTACATTCCTTCAAATATCTCTGCACAGACGCCCTTAATATTTCCAGGATCGTATAACAATCGAAATGTCCCTTAGGGATATCCGTCGGATGTCTGTAGGATTCAGGTATTCGATAGTTGTCCCAGGGACATCCCTCAAGGACATCCCTAGTTGTTCCTCAAGTGGGACATTTGTGCGTCCCACAGACGTCCAATGGACGTCCACGGTACCATATTCGAACGTCCTATGGACGTCCTGACGGATATCCATGGAACATAAGTGTGTTATTAGGGTATATATACCTACTAACAGCTACATGGACGACTCTGAAATAGATAAATGAAATTGTTATTTTCATTGTTTGAATTTCAGAATGTAGATAGTAAGTGTAAGAATTTTTACAAATAAAAATAGATGTTATCGCAGAAAAAATCAAAGAAAATGAGAGCCTATTGACAAAGTATATAAACGTAAGAAACTTTCCATGAAATATTCAGGTCATTTATTGTGAACTAAATTTTGTTCTAAAATTTGTTCTATCCGTCATTCGGTTGCCCCCTTACGAGCAACCCTCAAAAGTCTTCGAAAGTCTTGTGCGAGCAAGGAATGACGGGGGCCTTACTTTTTAACGTGTGATCCCAAACACTTTCTTGGGTCATCAGAAAAATTTCTGCAGTCGACGGGGATCGAACCCACGACCGGCAAGCGAATGCGAATTAGAATATAGACACTCTGTCCGCACGGCTACCTGGCCACCAACTCCTCGTTGTTAACGAATGAAATCATTTATTCAGTAACTAATTAACTTGTTTTCTGCATAAAGATTACTCATTGGGCTTACTGTACATAATTATAGCCGGAAGGAATCAGTAAATAAGGTATCGAAGCTCGAAAGCATCTTATTGTTCTTTGTTTTCTTTTTTTCTTCTTTTCTCCGTGTTAATTAGTTGGTTTAGTTCATTCATATAAACAAACTCTGGAAATCTGGAAATTGTATTGTTTGTAAGATATTTTAAATAACAGACTTTTCATGAACAAAAACTGAGACTAAATGCTAAAAAAATATCTACCTTCGTCCGCCTGGGCCATTATCTTTCTGGGAAAAATACAGGTTGTTGAATAATATTCAGCAATATTTCCCACTAAACTGAATCGTCTACTTATGAAGAGAGACGAGAGCAGTGGCGTACCTTTATATTTTGCCCCACACCCCCCCGCCAGAATCATTTAGGACCCCCTCGAGACAAACCTTTTCAGTCAGAAGTCCCTTCTTTCCATGAACTATTAGTTATTTTGAATAACCAGCAAGCTTCACAATACGCTTAATTTTTTTTGGGTGAATAACACAACCATTTCTCCTCGTGGATTTCAGATATACTTTTTAATCCACACCATATCTGTACCTACAGTTTCGAATGCAGTAGTAGCAAAAGTCTCGTCATTTGCTAAGTAAAAATTCGATATATTTTTTCTATATACCTTTATTCCTCTTCTCCAAACTCATTTCATTACAAATTGTCACTGACAAGCTAGTGAATTTTTCTTTTAGGCTCTCTGATAGGAAATTTCTTCAAACGCAGTGACATTTTGGGGCAAATCTGATTCGTCCTTACTACACGTATATTGAAATAATATTCAAATTTTCATTTTATAGAGAAAATTCAAAAAAATCTGGAATTCTTCCATAATAATTGCAAAGTCGACATCCATTCCTGTTTCAATCATCATACTGCTACTACTTGAAGAACATTCATCATGATATTCAACTGTATTATCCGAAACAGTAGTAGTATTCGTAAAGAACGTGGTAATCTTGGAAACTTTACACTTCTCATCTTCTAATTTTTGTTGCCTTCTTCCTTTTGAAGCACCACTAGTTTCAATCAAGTTCTCCATTTGAAATTATTGGCTTGTATATCGTTGATTTCACACATCACCCTGGACATACACTGAAAAAAACATGCCTGCACTATTCGCAGAAATGGAAAAATTATTTCTGTGGCATATTCATAATTAAAAAATATTCATGTATCGACCAATTTGGCTCTGGTTGGTGGATCCAGGGCCCCCTCCGAGGAAGGGGTCCGCGCTATATAGTAGTTACGCCACTGGACGAGAGGAATCGATGGAAACACTTTTATCATTTTTCTATCACCAAGGACCAAAGAATGGAACTGCAGGCGCCTCAGGTCTGCGAAAGCATCAAAACAAAGGGTTGATTTATAGAATAGGGTTGAAAAAACACCTACTGGCGATCTGTTTCTGGCATGTTTGTGCTTCCGATGAATGCTTCCATTTTGGTTCACTAAACTCTTATCTAAAATAAGCAACAGGTACAAAAACAATATAGCTCTGAACGAGTATCATATTCCGTAATTATTAGTAAAAATAAAACCCTTAGAAATTATTCTCTCAATATCAAGTGACCCTTTAATTTCGCCATAGATATGTTGCTCATTAAATTAGTTGGGAACAGTAATTTCCGTGTAACGAATCTTCAATGAGAATTATAAAGTTCCAGGCTATTTTCAATTAGATACAGGGTGTCTCCGTATATTTTGTCCCCTTCCTACAGTAAATGTAAAAACTTCACAAACGATAAGATTTCCACAAAATCAATTAAACACACGACATGTTTCGCTAACACAGTAGCTTTGTCAGGTGATATACTGGTACAATGAACAAAAAAAAAATCATTATCGAGAGTGCTGGGCGGTTTTATTGAGAAAAAAGAGTCAGTATTATTCCTCTAGCTCTCAAATGTCCATTCGCGAATATTCGACAATACCAAATCACCAGGATATACAAGGTGAATCTGCAAGCCAGGTTTATTTTCAAACAGGATTTATATTTCATCAAAATACGTTGTTTGGTGAAAAGTTGCTCCTATAACATATTCAAGATAACGGAGGTTCAAGTATTCAAAGGTTTAAAGAAGACTCCATTTTCATTTCATTTTTACATTGTCAACCTATTGATTTTCGTTTTAAAGTTAACTTTAATCTTAAATTTTTTACATAAACAGTTTTTGGCAATCTGGTTGACTGCTAGATGGATCTTATGAACTTATCTAATTGAATTCATCGAATTACAATCTCAACTTAAGAAATCATATCGCAATAACCCACCATGCATATAATATAGCGTGCCGCTTTGCGTTAAGTATATGAATTTTCATTGGACGTGCTCTCATTATTCCATTAATGTAGATACCGTATCCGACGTTTATATTGCCAAATTAATGTATATATTCGGGAAATAATTACATTAGAGGCCACAAAGTTTTCTCAGAACACGCGAACGACGAATTATTCAGATTTTTCTGTATCTGGGCTACCTACAAGTTGCTACAAGATCTCACAAAATATGCCCCATTTTAATGGGATATTTTCATCAGATAGGTGCACATATTTTTCATAGAATCCCAAAAAGTATATACAGCTACTATGAGCTTATCATGCATAGTTATATCATCATATCAAGAAAAATATCTCTTTTATAAGTTCATGACATAATTGAATTGATTGAAAAACTATAAAAAAAAGAGAAATTGAGATACAAATATTAATTGCTTCTTGTTTTTTTGGAATTCACCAGCGGCGCACCGCAAAAAACTTCAGGGTGGAAAAAAGAAGTGTGACCCCTGAAAAATGTTTCCTTGTAGGTTCTCAAGACCATTCGGCATATTCGATGTCCTACAGCGTAACCAGTATTCTGAATTTGAACTGGATATCCTGAAACCTACAGAAGCTATATGGAAAAAACTATAAATATCTTGAAATATTTCAACCACCTGCTGCTTCACAGAAATTGGTTGTAGGTTGGTGATGCCACACTTACAATCCTAACAGAAGAGAGTTTCGGACGTATCATGTTTATAGGAACTTTTAACTTTTTTGGGACCCTCTATCACTTCTGGAAGTGCATTCCACATATAAAAACACGACGTATCTATCATCCTTTTACAAAAAGGAAACCAATTCTCAGAATTCTGGATAAAAAAAACATAATGAGATTTGCGAAATATACAAACTGAATTATCATTATACGTTGGTCTTCTGATTTTATTGACATTTTTGATAGCTGAAGGAAAAACAGCTAAAAAAGCGCAAACTTGAAATTTTCCACAAAAATAATAGTGCCATCAATTCGAAAACGGTTGAAAAACTATTAAAGGGATATATTTCACGATCACAAGAATATAATTATGTAGATTCTGGAAATAGAATGAAATGCCTGTTGAAGAAAATTCTTGGACACTGTGGTTGAATAATCAAATTTCTTCAAAATATATTCAAAATACCACAATAATAATAATATAACCCTGAATAAGACCAAATGAGCCGAAACCTCTTTCCGAATCCGATCAAGCCTGGGACATGCCATAGGACGAAATGCATGAAAAATTCAGCTTCGTGTGAGAGTTCATCACGAAGCTGAGTTGTTAGTATGGTTGGGAGTGAAATTATATTATTACACAACTGAGTAATAGTGCCATCAAATGGTACACAGACGGTTCAAGCAAGTCAGAAGGAACTGGGATTGAAGTATTTGAGCCTATAAGACCAAATACTCAGAGAACTTGGGCCAGCAAGTATTTTTCAGGTGGAAGTGTATACCATTGGAAGATGAATTTATCGAGCTCAACATTGAGAAGAACTACCGCAGAGACAGATCATCATCATGTCTGCGCTGAGCTAACATGCAATCAGCTCTATAAGATAGTCTGGGATTTCCTAGGAAAGGTGAACGATCTGGACGACTGAGAGGAATCAAATAACTGATAAACTCGCGGAGAAAGGACTGGAACACTTTTGTGGTATCAGTAAAACAGCAATAGTAGCCAGATACTGGCAGGATTCAGAAGGTATGAGACAAGCAATGACACTCCTGGGGATCTAGCGAATGCATCAAAGGAAAATAAGATTCGAATACTAATTGAAGTCATATCAGGACATTGTCGGTTCAGGGGACATCAGAAGAAACTCCGGCTAGTATAAAGGAAGCAGAGTGAGGAAGAGGATAATCCTCCATCTACATCCTCTCGAACTGTGTAGCTCGTCTTAACGCAAGGGCACTCTGTCTATGAGCATATGAAATCAAAGAAGGATATTTGAACCATCCCATATCCTCAACTGAGGAGGATAGAATTAGAAGAACAACTATAATTGAGAATCCCTGGGATGCATAGCAGGAAGAGGGGAAACAATAGTTAAGATTTTTTTTATCGTTTGGAGCGCACAAGTAAATCCCTATAATGTTCAAAGAACATCGTGCGTTCCTAGGGAGGATAGGGACAGGAGGTAGGTATTGAAATTTTTTTGAACTTCTGGAGATTATATGTTATTGGGAATACTTCCTCAGGCAATGAATTCCAGAGCCAAGCCGTTCTATTGATGAAGGAGTTTTGATAAAGTGCTGTTCGACATCTTTCGAGGTTGACAACGAAAGGATGTGCTGACTGGGCTTGTCTAGTTCGTCTGCTAGGGATGATAGCAGAGATTTCTGAAGAACATTTCCCGTGGAGCTATCGATAGAAAAGTGAAAGGTCGCCGACCTATCTACGGTGTTCCAATGATGTCAAAGAGTGAATGAGTGTGGCGTCACCCACCAGGCGAATGGCTCTTCTCTGGATGGAATCTAAGAGCATCAGCTTGTGTTTTGGTGCTAAACCCCATATGTGGGAACAGTATTCTAGAACAGGCCGTATCTGCGCTTTGTAGATCATGAGAAGCTGTTGAGGTGTAAAGTAGCTTTCCGCACGGAACAAGAATCCGAGTTTTTGTGAAGCAGCTTTTGCGATGGATCTGACATAATTATCCCATGAAAGAGTGTTGCTGATGAAAATACCGAGCATAGATATGGTAGGCTTGGTGGGGATGGTAGTGCCAGACATTACAATATCGGGCATACTGAGTTCCACCTGTCTAGAGAAAATACAGGCTTGAGTTTTGGTGGCGTTGAATTCAAACCCTGATTGAAATTGCATAGTAACTTCCGGAGAATATCACTGGTGATTTCAGAGTCAGGCAATCTCCATTTTCTTCTTAGTTGTACTTAGCTGTTCTATTCTGAATATGAATGTGAATGTGGTACCTAAATACTTATTTCGTACGTATTCTGTCGATTTTTCACATCGATTGTTTATGTTTGTTTGTTTTTTTTTTCAAAAATCAATTTGAATGAGAACATCGAAAACTTCAAGCGAACGGGTTACGTGATAAACACTGCACTGTACATATTATATCAACCACATAGTGTGTTCACGTGGCACTTTCGGCCATTGTTTAGTTTTCATCCCACTGGATTCAGGATTCCCCAGCATGCCTGCAAACTATAGATAAATGGCTCTCTATATACCCAACTATTTGACAATAAAATAATAACAGATAATATTTCATGCGACGTTACTTTTTAGGTCACCGCTACAACTTCAGTGTCAATAAGGATTATCGTCTCGTTATTAGAGCTAATCTATGTTAATTTTTTTTTTATATAAGGTGTTTCATACGAAAAGGAATATACGTCTGATAGGTCGTTTTATAGGCAATGGGATATTCATCTGATAGGGTATTAATATGTAATTTTTAGACGAAAAAAAAAAAAAAGGAAACGTCTAAACTATGTTGGAACATAAACAAATAATTACAACGTTTTCAAGTTCAGACAATGTCATTATCAACAGTATATATTGTTCGAATACTACTTCTGAGTGTCTGATGCTGTCCTCAAAAAATGTGAGTTGTGATATGGTCGTAGGTGTTGCTGGTTCACTATCTGCCTTTGTTATTTCTTTTTGAGATGTACTTTTGTTTAGGTCTTCTGGATTCTCAGTGTAATTCATGCTCTGTAATTGTTCGATTGTGTACGTCTCGTTGTTTATTTGCAGTGTCTTCCCTCTTATCTTCGCGAATACATCTCTTCTCCTTGCTGCTTTGAGGTGATGCTGCAGGATTTTGTGATCTTGCCTATCTTCGTAGCATAAAACTTGTGCGATGAAGATCTTGCTGTCTCTTAGTTTGTATGTATTTCTCAGGATGTTTCGTTTTTTTCAGATATGATATAAATTCTATCTTTATAGCTTCTGTTCGTCCGGTATTTATCACATAAATATTGTTAATATCACATTCCTGGATGTGTACTCCCAAAATATTTTTTATGTGATTCAATGTGAACTGGATCAATTCTTCTTCTTTTGGGACTGATAGGCCGAAGATCAGGATATTGTTTTTACGGATATTTCTTTCGGAATTCATACACCTCAATGCAAGTACTTTGCATCTATGTTCTAGATCATTTACTCTGCTCGATCGTCTTTCTAGACCATCAATAATTTTGCTTTTTTCTGATTTTATTTCCTGTCGTATTTCGTCGTTTTCTCTCCTGATAGATTCTAGAAGAATACGCAGTAAATCGTTATTTGTTAAGTCTTTTTGGTCACTATTCATTGTTTTGTTTCCTTTCTTCGATGTAGATTGTATCACCCCGTATACCTACTGAAATCGTTCACTGGAGGCTACCTATGTTTTGATTCTACGTTCACGTTCTCGCTGGAGCGACTATAAAAATGATAAAAACGATCAGAGAATCTTATCGATTTCTAGCGTGATATGCACTGAACTGTTATTTTATTTCAATTATTTGGTAATTCACTAAAACATATTTTATAGGGACTACTTTTTCATATTTGAATAAAATTTATCATTATAGATATTATTATTAATTATTAATATACGTATCCGATACGTCCGACACGTCCGACAAAAATATATGAATGAACATTCATGAAAATATATGCATATAAATTCTTCTTTTTTGAATTGAGAAACCATTGACATCGAAATCAAAATCTATACATCAAGTTTCAACAATAGGTCTTTTCTTGTTCAACATTGAATAAGCTCAATAGTCTCGTATGAAATTTGGAAGTTCCTCTTCTTTGATCACTTAATAAAATACAAACAAAAATATTCCCCTAACGACGCCACTGGGAATTCGATTAATGAGACGGTATCACACATTCATTTTCTGAAGTGGATGATTGATTGAATTCGATAAATCTTTACCAAAAATACGTTCGGTACTCGATTCGGTAAACCTATACCCAATTTGTTTCAAAAGAAGGAAGGAGTGCGCAAAGTCATTTCCAGAAATCTTAATGACGTTGTTACACGATCAGGGACATGTTTAGGTCTTAGGAAAGACCATCTCCAGCATAATAAAAATGTTAGAGTTGAAAAAATGAGATTACTAACTGTGAATCTGCCTGTCGATGCCCATATTCATAAACTCATATTTCTAAATGTTAATGAACTGGTTCTCAATGAATGAAGACACCAAATTTCAATTTGTTTTCGTCTGGATCAAATATGATATTAAATACTGAGAAAAAGAGTATTCAAATGCATCAAATATGTGGGAATAAGGGGTTGCGAAAAGAAATGTGGATAAGTGTGTGGAAATAATCGGATCAATCAGTGATTTGGTTAAATAATAGACCTGAAAGAGGGACAGAATCAGTTCCATGGTGGATTTGATGAAATAGGGTTGTTTTCTATGAGTTCGCATCAATGAGTGCTGAGCGCAATAATTATTTTTTATATGTATTAAGTCTGCATTAGACATAATATGTTGGAGAAACTTTATTCCATCTATTGGTTCTATGTCAAGAGAAGCAGTATTACTTTTTAGGCATGATTTCATTTTTCAGATCGTTGAGATGCACGAGAATCAGGATACATACGCAGTTGTTCACATCATTCATTTTGAACAACATCATGTGGATAATCTGGTACCAGGAAGTCATCCCAGACCCGGAAGTAACCAAGTCGAATCCGGTAAGCAAAAATTGGTTTGATTCACAGAGGACATCTTTGGTGGTATGAATATTCTTATTCCATTCAACTATACAGGGTCTTCTCGAGGGTCTTATTATTCAGGTATGTGCTCAAACTTCTAGGAGCGATTATTTGAGTGATTCTAAGACAAATATTGTTTAAAAACATGGCTCAAGAAAGTTTTCTCAAACATTGTGTTTTGGTGAATCTAGTGAAGACCAAATTAGTCTGACCATTACGAATAACACGAACATTTTATTAAAGATTTTTGCGATATTACGAAAAAACTATTTTTCCAAAAAACTTTCTCACCTCTCTTGCATCAAACGGTGTACTTGGAGACCTATATACTGACATGATCTTTTCTACTAAGAACCTTCCGAAAAATCACCCCTTGAAGTCTGGGCACATATTTGAATAACCCCTTGTATACCAAAATTAGTAGAGATATATATTTTGCCTTCAGAAGTATTCCCAAGAACTTATAACTTCAAAGAGTTGAGAAAAAATTATCCACGATCATAATTGGGATTTCCATTCCTGATGCATTCCAAAGATAAATGGAAATTCGGTACCAAAATTGAATATCCGAATGTTCTATCAGATACTGATTTCTCCATAGAGGGTTATTCAAATTTTAAGCTCATCAGAGTGATCCGCTTTTGAAAAAACAACCGAATGAACTCCATGCACATCTCGACAATGATTTCGAAGATTAATTTTTCAGCAGGGAGACCATTACAACTTCTACGTTGGTCAAAATAATTTCAAGTTCATTGACATGTTTATGAAATTGCAAAAAAAAACTAGGGACAACAAAATAAATGTGAACTCCCTGTACTATAACAAATAATGGAAGTCCTTTTCGAACGAACATGATTCCAGGCGAAACATTCCTCCTGCGAAGGAAAATAATGCTAACAAAATAGAATCACTCTCTCAACACCAGAGAAAAGTTGGGGAAATGCGGTTTAAGGAAAGAGCGCAGATTTTGTATATTCGAGGAAAAGTTGGAAAACATGTGAGAAGATTCGGTGATAAACTTTTCAGGACATGTTTTCACGATATTGCCAGTTCAAATACCAGGTTTTAGCAACATATGAATGAAATGAACTGAGAAATTCTTGAATATTCTAATTCTGGAAAATAATTTGCCTCAACAATCCTAAACAATTCATGAGTAATCGATGTGAAGTACAGGGTATATCTCCATTTCATAATGACTTAACTCGATCTATATATTATGGAGAACTAAAAGTAGCATGATCCTGAAAATTGGCAGGGACATCGAGGAAAACATGAAAAATCCAATTGAAATATTTTCGTTATTGTGAAGCTTCTGGTTTTTTAGGAAGTGATGTCATCTTTGTCATTTCACAACATTTGTCAATGCACATCTTGATTTCTATTCAAATTCATGTTCAAAACCCTATACGTAAAATGTTCTATTTTTGAGTAATCCGAGTTTTTATAGGAGAAGTAAATTACAGTTTTTGTGACATGCAGTGACTGAATCATAATTAATGAGGGTTGAATTTCATGTCACCTAAAAATGTGTTAATTTTGAAAGTAATTTTTATAGAAGTATCAGGAAATCGCTAGACCTAAAAAAGTCTCCTGCAGTACATATACACCTCACATATTCTTAAGGAAGGGGCCCCAGATTTGTGTTGCGATTAGGGCCCCCTGCTATACCTTAATCCGCCACTGTTCGCGTATATTGTAACACGGGAGTAGCAAAAAAATGTTTTAGAATGGTAATTTAGAGCCGTCATACAGGGAATTATGCGCAAAAAATTTAGGGGGTGATTCTGCATGATAAAATGAGAAATTCGGTTTTTATGTACGTGGGTCCTGAAATGCATAGTTTTCAACATACAAAGTGATAAAACTTTTAAAAAAGATCGTTTTTTATGAATATTTCAAATGTCCTTCCACCGATTCTCTTGAAATTTGATAATGATATTTCAATTGGAATTATGAAATCCAGTGGCGTCCCGGGGACAAACTACCGAATATTATTGGCAATAACATGTGCGCCACTAATTTTTTTGAATTTTGTATTTTCATTATTGATCAACTGAAAATACAACATTTAGGTCTATTGTATTGTTTCAAAAATTTGCTTAATTTCCATGGAAAAAAATAAAAACCAATTCATTGCATACATTTGTGCCTAAAAATTCCTTCAAAAACTGGGGTGAAAATAAATGCGTGATGAATGTCCATATACATAGAATAAGTATGGAGATTCATTTTCTTCAAATATCTGTTGATACATGTTTGACACACTTCAAACTCTGTATTTTGAGAACTATATATGTATTCTCGGTCCTAGGAGGTGTATTTTTCGATAATACAAAGTGTGTCAAACATGTATTATGAAACATTTGAAGAAAATGAATCTTCATTCTCATTCTACGTCTATAGACATGGATCACACATTTAATTTCACCACTGTTCTTGAAGAAATGTTCTGCACAAATTTATACAATGAATTGGTATTTATTTTTTTCCACGGAAAAGCACCAGAATAGCGAAAAAAAATCCGGAGACCGAAATGTTGTATTTTCAGTCAATCATTATGATATGGAGACATAGAATTTTGAAAATCAGTGGCGCACATTTTATTGACAAAAAAATTCGGTGATGTGCCCTCGGGACGCCACTGGATTTCACAATTCTATTTCAATTATGGCTGAATCAGCCCCTCATGACGAAAAATATCATTGCCAAATTTCAATCGATGGAAGGATATTTGAGATATTCATAAAATACCGATTTCTTCTAAAAAGTTTAACACACTATATCTTGAAAACTATGGATTTCCGGACCCACGTATATGTGAAATGAATTTCATGTTTTCTCATGTAGAATCAACCCCTTGATTTTTTTGCGCATAATTTCCGGACACCCTGTATAGAAGAATCTTTAGTAGATAGCTGATCATTAATTATGAAAATTAGTGGAAAATAGTGAATTTCTGTATTCCTCGCTTCCGGCGTAAAATCTACAATGTTCAATCGCCAACTTCTCGAACGACTTCTTTTATTACGAAACAATGTTTTTGAAGAGCATCGGAAGCGTTTTATTAGGGCCATCAGGGGAGATCTTTGTTTCCTCGGTTCGAGAATTCGTTTTTCCACTTTTGAATATTGGATATATCATTTTTCCTTGGCCGCCTGCGACGCAGACCAGACGAATTAAGCTGTGTTTGCTTTCGATTCCGATCAATCAATCGCTGTTACATCATTTTCGAATTCGAACTCGAAGTCGAATGTGGAAATAAAAATAAGATAGAACGAATTAACTCGAATAGCTGTCCTGAACCGTTTCCAATTTCATTGCTTTTTTTGCCGAAATTGAGATAACAGGAGTAATCATTCACATCAAACGTTTTTATATTGGATACTGGAGTTATGAGCAAAATGCGATTATCTGTATCATATTTTTTGAGCGGAGCTCTACAAACGTCCATCAACAGATGAAAAAGTTACTATAATTTTCCAGGATCCTTCTGAATGAGACCAATTTTGGTATGGTATATACAGGGTGGTCCCTAAACATTATTGAAAAAGAGGAATATTCTCAGATAGATTATGAACATGAAACAATAGACAGAGAAGTGCACAAAAACGGCCAGGACTGTAACTTTTGAATTATTCGAGATAGGGTTTTGAAAATTGGTGAGCAGCTAGTATCCCAAATTGCTCATTAATTGATGAAACAATTGTTGTTTCATCACATCCAGTTATACTGGAACTGACCCCAACTTCTGATTTTTGAATTTGACACCCTGTATTGTATTCCACAATCGGTTATGGATTGTCTCGTGGATTGTCATAACGAATTCATCGATACCGGGTTTGGTAGAGTTTAATATATTGAGAATTCGTATTATCTATGTGATAAAAATGTCAAACCTTTCTAGATTTATTCAATTGGAAACAACTACTTTACTATTGAGCACACACGATGAGAATTTGAAAACAAAATCTGCTGAAGTTGGAAAATTGGATTCTCCTTCAAATAAAAATATGTATATGCATCACATAATATCATTCTGAATATTCAACAGAAAACAACTACTTGCCTGGCTATTTGCCACGTCGAACATATCTGTTGAATATCCAGAAGGAGAGCATGAATAATATAAAAATCCGCTGAAATTGTGAATTGACATTCTCTCTCAAATCGGATGAATAATAGGAAATATTATGATATAAAAATATAACTTACCAATATGTTTGGGAGAAGTATACTTATATATACTCTGATCTTAATGAGCTTGGAACTCAAAAAAAAAATCATTCGTTACAATGATATTGGAATTATATCTCTCATACACAGGTTAGGTATATGATTTTATTCGAATGAACTCATTTCGGATATCTAAACCTCCTCAGTTACCTGAAGTCCAGTTGTTCTTTCAGCCATTCCTCATTCCATGATATACACACTCGTATACACAATTTTCATCTCTCTATAATGTAACTGAAACTACAACGAACTGACACTCTTAGAATTATGGTTGACATTCAATCCCTGTCAGATCCGTGATTAGGTTTTCTCAATTCTGAATTCCTTTCCACGTCCTGTATGATGAACATTATCTAAAAAATCCAAGAAAGGATTCTGAAGAACAAAAGAGCCTGAACATACATGTCGAAAAATGATTCCTATGTAAGCCCCTTCGAATAGTATACAGTATACACCATGAAGACGTGTTTCCTCAATTTTTCCGAAACATTTTTTCCAAAAATCATGCTGAATCAGTATTTGAGCCCACAAAATATTACTTGTTTACCCATATTTAACTGACACTGTAGCTCCAATGATAACTAAGTAAGCAAAAGTGCCGATTCAAGTGTGAAAACCGCCTGCATACATCTGGGGGTTCTTTACGTGAAAAAGATCGTCTTGATTCATATCAGTAGGGACAAACGCAATAATGTTCTACATCTATGCGTCTAAAGGCGGGTTTTCTTCAATTTTCTAAATTTAATACTTTATTGCCATCTGATGAATCTTTTCGAATTTTGAGCTCAGAATCTAATTTGACATTGATGCAGTGTATCGAATTCAATTATTTCAACGAGTGAGTGAGCGATGTGATTATTAAGGGAGTGTCGGATGCTTCAATGTAAAAATTGCGATTTTTTCCAAAACGACCAGCCTTTTCGATTTGAACTAGGAGTATAGTTTATCCAAAGTCAGTTGGAGCGCCTCGAGCAATATAAATATCTACCACGTGCAAGGATTTCAAACAAACTGCTTCAATCAATTTTGGAAAATATATATACCATCATTATGTGAGAAACCTCCAGTTATCATACTTCAGAATTATAATGTGAAGTAAAAATCCAGTATGGTAGGTTCCTGAATTAGGTATAGGTTCCTGAATTGAATTTCGGAACTAGGAACTCGTCTTCTGATTCATCATTAGGAATTTATTCGATGTACAACCGGTCGTGGGTTCGATTCCCATCGACTGCAGGAATTTTTCTGATGGACCATGAAAGTGTTTGGGATCACACGTTGAAAGGTAAGGCCCCCGTCATTCCTTGCTCGCACAAGTTTCTCGAAGACTTCTGAGGGTTGCTTCTAAGGGGGCAACCGGATGACGAATAGAACAATTTTAGAAAAAATTTTTTTTAGTTCATGATTTTTGGATCAAGGGTTTCTGAAATATTGAAAAAAAACGTTTTCAGACTCAGAAATTCAGAATGTTCAATTTGAAGAGGCATAGCTTTTTTAGGTTGCATCAAACTGTATTTTGCTTATGCAGGATTATGAAAATTATAGTGGACATTGTGAAATGACGACTCAAAGATAGAAAACTCGACAATAACAAACTATTATCCTTTTGTGAATACCTATGAGCTAGTCTCACGATGAAGAGGTCGTAAGTTCGAATCACAAGCAGAGCAAATATCTTTGATTCATAATGCGAGTTATTAATTTTGCACAGCTTCAATGGTCTCAATCTGATTGTATCCACAAGATTCAAGTTGCGTTAGAATTTCAGTACTCCTTCCTCCAAAGCATTGAGCTAACAGCACTGATACAGAACACAGATAGAGCAATAATGATGTGGTTATGAACATCAAAGAAGAAGTGGAAATGGTGAATGCAAGTGGGTAATGAACATCCACCAGATGAGCAAGAGAGCAAGCCTGATCGATAGTAAAGGGTTAATTATGTATATAGTATAGCAAAATTGCCATGCAGAGCACGGTGGAGAACACAAACTAACCTGCAATAAACAATCGAAAATATCTATGGGATATCAGATGGACGGTAAATGAAACTTTTGACAAAGTTCTTCAGCCAATTCCACAAAGCTCGAAAACATTGGTGTGCAAGGAAGCTTGTTGGGACTTCTTACCTCATAGCTGAAAGATCGTTGTCAGTTTGTGGTGGGCAATGGAGAATTTGAATAGATGTGTGGCATTCAAAAGGACTTCAATCGTACAAATTCGGTAATAAACGCGTCAAACATACTGACACTGACACTGACACGAACACATGTAAGACTAACAAAACAGATGACCCAACCGAGTTTGTACAATCAAAGTCGTATATAAAATGCCACAAATCTATTCAAATTTGAAATGAGAACAAATGAGAATCGTATCAGAACATATAAGATATTTCAAATTATTTTTACGTGTACCAGGTGATTCAATAAGGGTGACGAGATATTGATCTCAGGAACTAACGATTTCGCTTAGAAGGTCGATCTGGTTCAAGGAAGGAAGGTTTGCTGAATGAAACAAAAAAACATCTATATCATTCGGGTTTCTACTGCCCTCGCTAGGGGGCGTCTTTAATAAACTATTACTTCTTGAGATACCCAGCACCTCATCACCCCTATTGAATCACCTGGTACAATACACACTTGGAGTTTGGTGCGTTCCTTCCGATTCACCCTGTATTTCTCAACATTATTGATGCATGTTTTAAACACACTAATATTCTATTGTACGCCGATGATATGAAAATCTTTGAGTAAATAAAAAATTTTAATGCCTGTTCGATACGTTCTTGAATCTTTCTTGTTTTTTGGGGAGAGACAGTTATTGGGTTTTGAATTCATTAAATAATTATGTTTTTGTCGTATCATTCGAAACGTTCCGCATATGGCCACAGGCTATTTCAATCTTTGAAATGAAAAATGTAAGAAATAATTGAATTGAATTCGAAGACAGAAAGTAGATGATTTGGTGCTTATTCCATCCTTCTATTTCATTGACCTGAAATTAATTAGTATGCCCGGTCTATTGCAGCTTTGGTGTCAGATCCTCCACATCTTGAAAGAGTACTTCATGGTGGCCAATTACATGTGGATGCTGTGCGAGGGCCTCCACCTTCATCTAGCTCTGGTGGTGGTATTCGTGAGGGAAGAAAGGACAATGAAGTGGTTCTTCGCTATAGGGTGGGGTATTCCTGTAGTCATCGTGATCGTTCACAACTTCGTCCGGCTGTTTGTCACACAGGATACTTATTTGTGAGTAAAACGTTATTTTCAGCCAGAGATTGATTTCTCTCTATTTCGATTTTTTTAAGTGGAAAATTTGAAATCTGAGCACCAGGATGAACAGAAGATGGTGTAGAAACTCCTATCAAATACCATCTACTGTTTTTCGGTCAGGTTAGGTTAGAGTACTTGAACTACGGCCTACTTGACAGAAGGATTCTTTTCAATATCGCGGAATACAAGTCGCATTTTACCCGATAGATGGCGAAATCTCAACCGCAAATCGAGATGGGTAGAACTGATGATTGAAATTCCCCAAAATCACAGTTTCGTATTTTCCAATTCAATCTCATTCGATTTGGGGTTATGTTATGAATGTCATGATTATTTCTGGTGCAAGCGGTGTGTAAGCGGCGTTTTCAGTTTTTTGTCATGGAATGAATCTGTAAAAATTGTCGCCATCTTGCGGACAACTAAGAACTGATATTATTGCGGAATCTGCAGTCAAGCGTTTTGGTAGAAACAAAGCACTGTCTGTGATTACACCATACTCTATCCACCTACCTGAGCACGTATATCGAGACAGAGAATTGGCATCACATTGTGCATTCAATATATACCGGGTAAAAGAAATACGAGTAGATGCATCTCGGAAATGGTCAGATGTACAGAGAGGGTTAAATGAAAACAATGTTCCGCAATTTTATGCATAACAAAATTCAATTTCAAAATTTGAAAAATACCGAATACCGTAAAACTGGGCGACTTGGAATGTTTCCTTCAGATTATTGGTCCTGAACCGTCGAATACGTTAATTTAGTGCATATAAAAATCATAATTTATTACCAAAATGATTATATAGCAAGCATCGACAAATTACAATGCCTGACCAATTTTCGTGGAAAAAATTCAAAGCTCAATCATTTTGTGTTGTCAATTTTGATTGCCAATTTGATTCAAATTATTCTTGGAACGTTGCTTATACTTTCTATGCCTCTATTTAGTGTAAAAAACAACACTTCCAATGTTATTGGAGAAATAGGTATAGTATTATTATATTCTGAAAGTCAAAAAATCTCAAACAAAAAATTTTAAACCGCGCACTAACCTGCTTATGCATTCGAACAAAAATTGAGAATTATATCATCTTTGTTATTGTGGAGAAGGCCTCAAGAAGAAGAAGTAGAAGAAGAAGAATAAGGCCTCTTTGTACATTCAGAGTTTTCAGGAGTCAATCTTCAGGCTCCTGAAGTTTTGGCTTGTACTAAACACCGTCTATAAATTTGTCTCTTTATTTATCTTCAATATCCAATTTACTCACAGATGTTTCCATGAAACATCTCCCATATATCATTTTGAAACTGCTGCACGAAAATTACCAGATCAATTGAATGTTAAAAGAATCAAATCAAAGTTAGTGGGATTCTTCGTCCCTAACTCATGTGGAGGAGTTTATTTTCGGCTCTACCTCATCTCGAACCCATAAAATACGGTATTCATTTTTTATGTTTTCAATATCACTCCAATGAAATTGTTGCTTGAACCTACTGTAACGAATAACGCCTCTGATGAGAGAATCGTAACTATATTCTTAGAATTATGGAAGACGATGCCAAAGTAGGTAATTTGGGATGATTTTAGAGCCAATTGACCTCATTAGTGGAAAAAGGAAGAAAATGCGGCAGAAATAAAAAAGCACTTTGAGGCAAGTTAATTGCTATCTGTATATCACGAGAGCATAAGGAATCAATGTCTTTCTGTCGCAGAAGTTTATGGGCACGAAACCCACATAAGAGGAAAGGAGTCTTCATAACAAAACACCAAAACTAGCTTTCGAAAGAACAGAATATATTATGAAAATAAACATGCCGAAACTTTTTAGTGTGTAGACCTAGTAGACATGACACTTTCAGAGAAATGGGGGAGACCACTGATTTTTTGAAACGACATTATCGTGAACTCTATACTGAAAAACTACCAGTGAATTAATTTTGAGTTTTTTCATTCATGCTAAGACGATGAAAAAAATAAATTAGAATATGTCCATTTCTAAACACACAATTCCTGCGCCATTTGAAATTTTGTCAATTCATTGGTGAGACTGGTGCGACGTCTTAGTCCCAACACGCCTATTGTCCTTGAACTCACCAATCACACTGCAACACTGCACGAGGTATCAGAGAGAGATAGCTACAGTGCGGGACTAATACGTCAAAGCTCCACCATCATATTTGGCTTTTCGAAATAACGAATGAAATATGCTGATTTCAAAACGATATAGATTCGAATCCCTTCAACTTCAACTCATAGTATTGATTGTAGATCAAACGTAAATCATGATTCGTCGATTGAAAGAGGTTTGCACGGATTTCTTCCCTCAGTGGTCTTCTCCATTGGGCGGCAACAGTGAACCGTATGGGCACGATCCTATGGGATAACCTCCAGCGGATGCTATGATATTGGACAAGTTTGTATCCATCAATAATTGAATATATTATAGCTCTCGTTCACTAACTCCCTATCTAGGTTGTCATCTATACCTTTTCAACTTCAATTTCGGAATCGGTAAGCTGTATTTCGGAAAAAGTAATCTCGATTTCAGAATTGGTTAGTTCGATTTCAGAAATGGTAAACTCAATTTCAGAATCAGTGAGATGAATTTCAGAATTGGTAGGTTCAATTTCAGAAGATAAATCCTTATATTTGTTTGAAATGTTTCCAATTGCATGTGAGATTAACAAACCATATTTACAATATTCAACTTTTCAAAAATAATTCAATAACATAATTATAATCTCAATTCAATCCACAGATGTCTTCCATCCGGGTCGCAGAAGGATAGTATCGTTGCAGATGATCATAAAAATGCAAACACATTTGAGGTGTTATCATTTTCATTGAATGATCTGCACATTCTTCAAGACATCGCAGTCTGAATTCTATCTGGTTAAGCAATCTGTTCGGATCGCCAGCTATGACCCTTTGGCGATGATCTTGCAGAAAGCTCTTCACTTCCGACTTGAAGGCACTCCATATATGTTTAATCGGATTCAAAATAGGGCTGTAAGGTGCCAATCTGCAAAATATAACATCTTGAAATTATTTCTCCATGCATGTCTCTTCTATTCGAACGCAAACTCTCAAACTCCGTTCCATCCACTGTAAACAATATTCTCTTTTGCAATTGAGAACAGTTCAAACATACAGGCTGATTCACGGTGGATGGCACGTTAGACGTTTATGGGGAACGGGGCATAGGATCATTCTGCAATTTTGGAAACTCACATAGTTGCTCTTGGTCTATCGATCTAAAATATTTTCAGCTCTGCGGCGTTGCCGCTTCTATCGAAAAGTAGCAACAACTTTGTTATTTTAAATGGAACACCCTGTATTTTATTGCATTTTCAGATTCTCTCTGAAGAGCTGAATTCATCGATGTATCACACTTGGGGTCTAGCGGAAATGATTACAAAGATATAGGGTGTGAAAAATCGTCATTTTTCAACTTTAGGAATTTTTTTTGTCGAAACTATTCATTATTGGTCATAACGGCTCACATGTCCCTATCTCAACTTTTGATTAACTATCTACTGATATTTAATTATGACATATACCGGGTGATCAAGATTCTGTATTCTGCACGACCCTGTATTTGTTTCAATTAAATGTCAGTAGATAGTTGATCAAAAGTTGAGATAGGGGCATGTAAGCCGTTTTGACCAATAATGAATAGTTTCGACAAAAAAAATTCCTTAATTTGAAAAATGTCGATTTTTCACACCCTATATCTCTGTAATCATTTTCGCTAGACCCCAAGTGTGATACATCGATGAAATCAGCTCTTGAGAGAGAATCTGAAAATGCAATAAAATACAGGGTGTTCTGTTTAAAATAACAAAGTTGTTGCTATTTTTCGATAGAAGCGGCAACGCTGCAGAGCTGAAAACATTTTAGATCGATAGACCAAGAGCAACTACGTGGGTAACCAAAATTTCAGGATGATCCTATGTCCCGTTCTCCATAAACGTCTAACGTGCCATCCACCGTGAATCAGCCTGTATATAAGGATTCATCTTCTGAAATTGAACCTACCAAGTACAAATTACCATTTCAGAAATTGAATGGACATTTTCTGAAATCCATCTCACCGATTCTGAAATTGAGTTTACCATTTCTGAAATTGAACCAATTCTAAAATAGAGATTACTTTTTCCGAAATATAACTCACCGATTCCGAAATTAAAGTTGAAAAGGTATAGAACGACGATGGTTGTTCAAAGTGTCATCATTTTCTACATTTATCTCATATCACTTAAGCTCTTATCAATTGAGAATCAACTAAAAAAATAATTGTCCTTGTACTGGGAGGGGTACATAGTAGAACGAGCCTGTACAATTATTTATTATTTTATGATCAAAGAACTATGTTCCCTGATTGAATCGAAATGAATATTGGGGTGCAATTCGAAAATTCAAAGTAAGAGGAAGCTCCTTGTGTGGAAAAAAGTTCGATTTGGACTCACTATGAGATTGACTGATACTCAATCTTCACATTAATGCTTTCAATCTTATTATCAGAAATAAAACCTGGGAATGGTTTAGGATCTCAGAATCACAAGAGAAGTTAATGTCCTATTCCAACGATCGAAATTTGTCACTAATAACTACTGAATACTGGAAATAATACAACGCTTGTGATATGCGGAAATATTCGGATAATCGTTTTTCCGTATAGTAATTATAGTATATATGTATGAGTGTATGAGACATACGCATTATCAACTCACACCAGAGGGCATTCAGTGTGAAAAGTGGCTATGCATCGCTTCTCATCTTTTATTTTGTAGTTAGAAATGGCCCAGAGCACAGTAGAGAGTCTGTGTGAGCTCTCTACCGTGCCCAGAGCGCAGTTGCCGAGTCACGAACAGATATTTAACGAATGTTTGGTACCATAGCACGTGGTTAGGTCTCGTCGACAATAGATACTCATAAGATGTAATGATACATTATGATACCATGCTTTAGGAATGATAATGGTCACGTACGACCATTTTTGCCGAACAATCATCAAGCAAAAATCAAAATTGAATGAGGCACCTGCGCTATATGTATCAGTCATTTTTACGTTGTTTGCTCCTAGAGTTTGAAGGAATGCGTATCTAAATTGACCATTCAACTATACATATATTACAGAATATCATTCACTCATAGAAATAGTTGATAGTGAATGCCAAACGTTTAGTAAAATAGGCGCCAGTCACCACATTCTACAAATAATACCACAACAAAATTGTATCATACTTTACTACAAGTTACTATCAAACTATTTTTTAGTGGTAATATTTGATATGTATAGTATTATACAATTTCATAGTGGTATTATTAGTTGAATGTTTTGACTCTCGCCTATTTCACTGAACGTTTAGTATTTACAACCGGCTATTTTTATGCAATGTAGAAAATTACTGGAATAGGGACCATCAGCCATGAAGAAATAAAAACATTCAATATGGCTCTGACGTCCTGAATTATTATTCCGCTTACGAAGCCTAGAATAATGAGTAATCCCAATGTATGGACACATCTGGAAAACATTTTATGCAAAAATGGTTGCATGATATTCCTGAAAATATGTGTCTGTTCGAATTTCGATTCGAAAAATCTGAATATGAACTACCTATCATTGATGATTGAAAATCAACGAAAGAATGATATAATTTGTTCTAATTTGGATTATTTGAGTGTTAACAGTGGTTTGGTTATTGCTTTCACTTTTACTTAAGTACATTCGAGTACAATATTAATGTTTTATATGTAATACCACAAGTAAAACTATTTTTCTGGAAATATCCGGTGATTGTTACGACAGCTAGTTGCCAAATAATTTCGCGAATGACATTGTTTGTCAAAACTTTCGAGCCGCAGGCTGAATCGACGAACACCTGATCAAATCAATCAGCATCGTTTCTCAGTCATATTTACTTACATCTTCTCATATACTTCTGTTATGCTGTGTCGTGTGATCTGCAGAAATAAATAGATAGTAACGTAACTAGTTAGAAAACGCGATAAAATACGTTTCCTAACGTGTAACGTACAATATTTTTTCTAATTTTGATGAAAAGTTTTGCTCGAACAGATATAATGACCAGTTCTATCACCCGTCACTTTGACGTATCCATCAAACAATCAATCATTATGGCCAGAAATCAGCGACAAAATTCACGAACTGGACTCGTTAGTGATGGAAAAGTTTTCCTAAGTGATATCGAGGAAATGTACTATTATCTTCGTCCATCCATATTTTTTATAACGTAACTAGTATTGAAACAAACATTCCATTACCAGTTATGTAATATTATACTTCACGCAACTGGTTACATACAGTGGAACGTTCAAAGAGTTCCGTCAGTTTTCAAAAGTATCAAGTTACATGTCAAAATTAGAAAAAGTTGTTCTCGAAAGTTAAGGAAACCGAAGTAAAAGGTATACCTATTGGTATTTTGATAGATTATTCTGAATGTGCTTCCATTTAAACTTATTTCAACTTCATCTGGTGAGGAAAACCTATTCACTAAGTATTCAAATCTTTAGATAAATCCCCCTGTATAGGAAGAAGTAGTAAATATAATAGCAAGATGCCCCTAAACATGCCTGAACCATTGCCGTTCTAGATGACAACCTAGTTAGGTACTTTTATAATAGAGAGTTGAAGTAATCACTGTACGTAGACCTCCACGTAGACGTTAACGTACGGAAAATAACGTTTACGTATCGTCGTTAAATTGAGTTGAAGTCGCCACTTTGGCCGTCACTGTCATCATAACGTAATAAATGGTAATAATACATTTTGTTTTCGGTTTGTATTGGTCATTTTTGGTTGTGTGTTTAGATTCGAACATTTATTCCTGTCAAAATTAGAGGACTCCTTGATGCCGAACTCGTTGGTGATCTCGAATTTGATAATTTTGACTCATCGGCATATTTCGAGTATAGTTTATACGTTGATATTTGAGGTATACGTGAAGGAACGTGAGATAACGTACACCCGTAAGCCCACTAACAACGCAAACGTGAAGAATTGGAAAATGCGCATGCGTAGCTGTCAATTTCTACGTTTACGTTAACGTTCATGACAACACTTCAACTCTCTAGTATACCTCCTCACGTACTACTAGGTTTTCATTTAAATCGATGATGCCTAAACAATGGAAGATATTTGTGCCGATGAGAATTTGATTCTCGTTCATGCATACGGCATCCATGAATTCTAGTACATTTAGTTCCTTGGTAATGCGATGATATCCCGTTTTTATTTCCCTTTTATTACACCCATTCATTTCTATTATTATCTTAGTTCACATCGTTAGGAATAGGTATTAATGGAAGCTTCGATATAATGTGATAATTCTAGAAAACATTTTCATTCCATTTCGCGGATAATATCAGCTATCAAAATTTTCGCAATCTACCAGAAATTTTGAAATATCTGAACAAAGAAAATTAATTTCTATAGAACGACCAAATTCTGACTATTCTGACGAACTTTTATTCAATTGAATTTTCTGAAGTCGGATCGTGGCTCCGTCGATATCCAGAATTATACCAAGCAGAGAGGAAAAATTACTTGTAGAAGTCGAAATTTATTAAGTTCGGACAGAATATCTCACCTTCATGCCCTGAAAGGCTATAATAATGTAGGGAGTTATGGATTTGGACCATAACATTTTCTTCATAAACTATAAACTTTATAAGTGCATAGTAGGAAACTACTCATTACACACTTCAAACATAACTTCATAGTCCTAGTGGGAATGTATAGTCATTAATTGGGTAATATTTAACTCCAATTTCACCAGTGGAATGTCTTTTAGACCCTCGAATTTTCAAGGTACCTACTTATATTGGAGTTAGTTACCTTTTTTTTTATCGCTTGAAGCGCACGAAAGGGAATCCCTATAATGTTCAAAGAACATCGGGCGTTCCTAGGGAGAATAGGGATAGGGTAGGTATTGGATTTTTTATTGAACTTCTGGAGATTATATGTTGTTAGGAATACTTCCACAGGCAATGAATTCCAGAGCCTAGCCGTTCTATGGATGAAGGAGTTTTGATAAAGTGCTGTTCGACATCTTTCGAGGTTGACAACGAGAGGATGTGCTGACTGGGCTTGTCTAGTTCGTCTGACTGGTATTGCTAGTGAAGGGATGATCTGATTATTATACGTTTATATGGTCAGGGATCAAACAGATATAGAAAATAAGTCGGATTCATATACTCTATTTGCCAATTTTTATACCAATTAAGTGTTTAAGGAGTTATTTAGCCTTTTTTTTTTCGCCTAATAAGCACCTACTTATGTCTGATGAAGGCAAGAGATTACCACAATGAATTATACCAATTTAGTGTTTAAGGAGTTTTTTAGCCTTTTTTTTGCCTAATAAGCACCTACTTATGTCTGATGAAGGCAAGAGATTACCACAATGAATTCCTTATCGAAGAGATTTTACAGGTTGGGTTGGAACAAATTCGTTAGAAGCTTGAGGAAATATCCAATGGGGAAAAATGCTCAGAAACACCGATTTTCTTTTTCAGTTGCGCATTTTTTGAGCTACTCATACCTCTGATGACATCATCACTGTTCGAGTTATGACGTCATTATCATTATTTAAATGGCGATAATCTGTTCTGATGATATATTCCTTCAAGAAGATTGTATTTTTTTGTATGGACATTATATTTTGCCTCAATTTTTCTCATATGTCACATAGCCAAATTTTCGAGAAATAAATGAGCTTTTTTCCCAATGCTCAAATGCAGCATCTGATGAATTTTCACCATCAACCCTTTCGTGCTCACTGTACATTATTCAATGTTGAATAAGTTCATTGTTTCAGGTGCTGGCTGGAAGAATCTTCTTTCAGTTCCTGGTTTCTGAGCATTCCAGTACTCATCATATTGATACTATGCACAAGTACGTAATACAATTTCTTATTCTCAGTAGAATTAGTCCATACGAAGTAAGTATTATTTATTTACATTAAAATGTGGAAGAGTGACCTCAGAGATTTTCAAACACTTGTATTATTATTTTACTCTATTAGAAATGATATACTACCCTAATAACACACTAATGTCACATGGATATCCTTAGGAAGTCCTAGCGGGACATTCAGGACGTCCATAGGACGTCTGAATTTGGTACCGTGGACGTTCATTGGACGTCTGTGGGACGCATAAATGTCCCACTTGAGGACAAACTAGCGACGTCCTTGAGGAATGTCTCTGGGACAACTATCGGATACCTAAATCCTATAGTATTCCCCATCAAGCACTACAGAGGACATCCTTAGGACATCAGCAACGCTGGGGGATATCAATTGGATGTCCATAGGATGTCCCAGGGACGTACGAATTATACTTGAATTTGAATTTTTCTGGGTCCCTCTAGGACCAGATCTTGCATAACTGATTAGGACTTTCAGTTGAGTTGATGGTCCGTAGAAGGTCCCCAAAAAGTATCGCACGGATGTCCAATGGACTTACGTGAAGGACTTTGACGAGGAGTACTTATAGCCTACGAGCAATCATTCGTCGGCGAAGTGTAAGTAAACGCCCTCGCAGGGATAACATATTGAAAGTACCGACTGGGACGTCCATGGGACGTTATTTCTAGGACATTGGAATAGTAAAGTTCATGTACCAATTGGGACATCCGACGGATGTCCCTGAGGGACATTTCGATTGTTAAACGATCCTGGAAATATTAAGGGCTTCTGTGCAGAGATATTTGAAGGAATCTACCATCAGGGACATTTCATGGTTGTCTAGAAGGGACATTATATAAGCTCTGAAGTCATGCCAGACTATGTACTAATCGGGACATCCGATGAATGTCCCTAAAGGAACGTTCAAAATCATATCCCATCAGGGACATGCCAAGAACGTCTAAGGGATGCTATTTCCAGGACATTTGAAATGATGTACCAGCTGGGACATTCCGAGGACGTCCTTGCTTGGACATTGCATGAGATGTACGGGACGGGACGTCCCAAGGACACTTATTATTGGTTCGGGACATTCGGACGTGAATTGTACCAAATAGGGACGTCCCTAAGACATTGTGTGCTCTAAGGGTATAGTATTAACTAATTGCAAGGCTCGTCAGAGCTTTATTTGAGTATGGAATCAAACTTCAAAGGAGTGATTCTTTGAGTTGTTCCAAGACGGAGAGTGTCATTTATTTCAAAAAACCTATTTTTCGTTAGTCCAATCATAACTCTGGTTTTCCTGTATCTATATGCATTTCCGAGTGATCATCTTGAGTTTTTGTCATAGAATCACTCAAAAAATCACCCCCTTATTATAGTTAGGTCTCATACTCAAATAACACCCTGTATAATCTGAGAACCAGCAACATATTTCTCACAGTATTTATCATCAGCCTACAACTTCTCCAATTAGTCCCTCCCAACGTCGGAACATGATATTCTTATTATCAAGCAACTCTCTCGGGGTGGTTCAGCGCCCGCAAAATCACTGATGGTGATGAAAAATATAATTACAACATCCAGCATGTCTGGCACATTCAGATGTCAAAATTTATAGTGTAATATGAGTAAAATAATTTCTAAACCAGTGGATGGGTGGAATGTGGAAAGTTGGTGCTTGAGGGGGTTGGAGAAGATGACTACCAAACCGCACTATTCACAAGTATTTTACTCATCACATATATCGAACACTAGAACCTTTGGCACGATAATACACTACACTGATGTTTTAGCACTAACCAAACCGATTTTTTCAACACCTCGACACGTGTTTCGCTAATTATGTTAGCATCTTCAGGAGAAGATTGAAACTGATCATAAATACTGTCTGTAGGTTAATCGAGGAGGTGGTACATTTATTCTACTTGATTCATTGGGATTTTTCCTCCTCGCTTCTAAAAAAATAAAAGTATTCGTATTATTTCAATATGTGTAGAGGGACAAATCCGATGATTTGCCCCAAAATGTCACTGCGTTAAACAATTTTTTCTATCAGGGAGTCTAAAAGAAAAATCCAGTAGCTTGTCAGTGACAATTTGTTTGAAAAAATGTTTGAAAGAAAGAAATATAGATATATTGAAAAAATATCGAATTTTTACTCATCTTTGGACGTTTCGGGACCGATTCTGCTCCCGTTCTCAACATGTAAATGCAAATTATGTTCCTTTGAAAGTTGTGCTGCGTATAGTTTGACACTTTCCAGTGTCATACTGATGTTGGCATATGAAAATGAAAACATCCTGTAACTCATTTGTAGACTGAAATCACTCATTCAGAATTTCGCACAATTCTTCGACTCTATCGATCTTTTTCGTAAAAATAGTATTCGAAACATCATTTAGTATGATTCTTGATGAAATCTTTGAAAGAATGCTCCTGTAGTCGGCTTCGTGGAATTGGTCCTTATCAGTTTTTTCAATGTACTCTGTCAGCATTTCCTTCATGTCCGAAAATTCCATCAAATCAGTAACATGGATGTTGAAATGTCTTAAAATTTGAATGATCTCGCCTTCGCTCAGCTGCTCCTTAATATCACGTCGGGGTCACCAAATTATGGATACAATTGATACAAATTATGAAACTTCGAGTTGTAATTATTATATTATGAAAATGTCACATCAATGTCAGACTATCAGATCATATAATATACCAAGTATATAACATAACTAGTCACCATAAGTATACTCTGGTCAGTTCACTTTGTGAATCTTCTGTTCGGTTCGTATGGACTGGATGGGTTTCTCCGATTGAGTGGTAAGTATCAGATACTGCTTCTCTGATCTGCAGCAGAACATCACATATCAATCGAAGTACATTCATATCAGAAAATAAATATCAATAAATGAAATACATAGATGTTGAATCTGAGACATACCTGAATAATATATTCAACGTTCGTAACTGGATTGCTACATACTCCTCTCTTTCCGAATAGTGTTTTTTCCAGTAGGCATCTTCCACATTTTCAATTACGTACGTGGGTTATATTAAGGACCTTGAAGGCCAAACGATGTACGGCTCGGATCTAAAACTAAGGATAAATTTCAAATTTGAATCGTGAGACCTACATAGAATATTGTTTTCAACATTCGTGACTGGAACGCGATTTATTTTTGTAATTCATTAATTCTTCGACTATCTCAATGAAGACGAGACAGGCAGATAAACAACAATTTTCTCTGCAATGAAGAACACTGTATATACCTAACCCACCATGCGTCTACCTCCTTTGCAGAGAGGGTTTATGAACGCCGAGTTGATACTCTCCCCTCGTAAGGGTACCTGTCGTGTTTCCATAGAGACATAAAGCTGAATATCTGTCTTATCTGTTTTCTTGAGAATCTGGAAAGGATATCAATATATCGCCTTCCGTACGAAGATAATGATCTGAATTCTGTAAAGTATACTCTGATCAGTTCTCTTTGCGGATCTTCTGTTCAGTCCGTATTTACTGGATGGTTTTCTTCGATTCAGTGGCAAGTATCAAACACTACATCTTGGATCTGTAACTCAACATCTCATTTAAATCGGAGTATATTTAAAATCAGAAAATATCATTAGAGGAAATACATAGAAGTTGAATCTGAGACATACCTGAATAATATTTTCAACGTCCGTAACTAGATTGCTAAATATCCGCCTTTTTTCCGCAAAGTGGTTTTTCCAGTAGGCATCTTTCTTCCACATGCTCAATTACGAGGGTAATATCAAGGACCTCGGAGGCAAAACAATATGCTGCTCAGATCTAAAACTGAGTATCAATTTCAAATTTGAATGGTGAGACCTACATAGAATATAAATCTATGAAAAGTCTGGATATTGTTTTCAATATTCATAACTGGAACGCGATATATTTTTGTAATTCATCAATTCATCAACTTTCTCAATGAAGACGAGACAGGCAGATAAACAACAATTTTCTCTGCAATGAAGAACACTGTATATACCTAACCCACCATGCGCCTACCTCCTTTGCAGAGAGGGTTTATAAACGCCGAGTTGATACTCTCCCCTCGTGAGGGTACCTGTCGTGTTTCCATAGAGACATAAAACTGAATATCTGTCTTATCTGTTTTCTTGAGAATCTGGAAATGATATCAATATATCGCCTTCCGTACGAATATAATGATCTAAATTCTGTGAAGTGAAGTATACTCTCGTCAGTTCTCTTTGCGGATCTTCTGTTCGGTCCGTATTTACTGGATGGTTTTCTCCGATTGAGTGGCAAGTATCAAACACTGCTTCTTGGATCTGCAGCTAAACATCACATTTAAATCGAAGTACATTTGAATCAGGAAATATCACTAGAGGAAATACATAGGTGTTGAATCTGAGACATACCTGAATAATATTTTCAACGTCCGCAACTAGATTGCTACATATCCGACTTCTTTCCGAATAGTGGTTATCCAGCGGGCATCTTCCACATGTTCAATTACGTGGGTAATATTAAGGACCTCGAAGGCAAAACAATATGCTGCTCAGATCTAAAACTGAGTATCAATTTCAAATTTGAATGGTGAGACCTACATAGAATATAAATCTATGAAAAGTCTGGATATTGTTTTCAACATTCATAACTGGAACGCGATATATTTTTGTAATTCATCAATTCATCAACTTTCTCAATGAAGACGAGACAGGCAGATAAACAACAATTTTCTCTGCAATGAAGAACACTGTATATACCTAACCCACCATGCGCCTACCTCCTTTGCAGAGAGGCTTTATGAGCGCCGAGTTGATACTCTCCCCTCGTAAGGGTACCTGTCGTGTTTCCATAGAGACATAAAGCTGAATATCTGTCTTATCTGTTTTCTTGAGAATCTGGAAAGGATATCAATATATCGCCTTCCGTACGATTATAATGATCTGAATTCTGTGAAGTATACTCTGATCACTTTTCTTTGCGGATCTTCTGTTCGGTCCGTATTCACTGGATGGTTTTCTCCGATTGAGTGGCAAGTATCAAACACTGCTGCTTGGATCTGCAACTGAAAGTTAAATATCTGTCTTATCTGTTTCCTTGGGAATCTGGAATGGATATCAATATATCGCTTTCCGTACGAATATGAGGATCTGAATTCTGTAAAGTACTCTAGCTCTGGCCATTTTCCTTTGCGGATTATTTGTTCGATTCGTCGTGAATGGATGGTTTTCTCTGATTCAGTAACAAGTATCAACACTTTGCTTCTCAGATCTGCAAATAAACATGATATCAAATATCGAAGTCCATAAAAATCCATACTGATTTTCATGAGAGGCAAAACATGGATGTTGAATCAGTAACATACCTGAATAATATTTCCAAAATTCGTAACTGGAACGCGATATATTCTTGTAATTCACAACGTTGTCAAGTCATCAATTATAATCAATTCTCCATGAAGATTAGATTCCTGTCGTTGGATAAAACACGAGATAAAACATAATAAGAGTAAGCCATGATATTATAGATCATTCCTTACTTTTTCGGGCAACCAGCATGTCTGTTCATCTCTCGTACCCTATAACAAAATATCATGTTGATGTTGAAGACTAGGCAACAATGTGCTGAATGCTGAGAACTGACAAGGCACCGCCAACAATTCGTGCTGTGTTGTCACGTTCACCCTCAAATATTTTCTAGTGTGAATTAATATAATAATATTGATATTAACACAAATGTATTATAAACAATGAGCCACAACAGATGAGGGAATATTTCGAGACAATTGATTTTTATGTCTAATTAGGAATATAACCAATACAAAATTGGGAATTTATGAATTATTCTCGCGGTGAATTTTTAGCCGTTTGAAAATTACCGTGGCATTATTTTTGATCTCAGCATTTCGAAATCGAATGAGGAATTTTGAAAATATATGAAATTGAGAGTTATTTGAGTGATGATTCTATTTGAGAAATAAAAATAATTAGTCAACTCGCCTATTTCATTTTTGTGGATGGTACCATGGCTGTTAGCAAGCAGTGTATATCACTGAAGATGTCTCCACTTGGTCATAGTGTGTACATCTACCGTTCCTGCAAATTTCAGAATCCTAACTAAACAAATACGAAAGATATAGGGATGCTTCCATTTAAAGTGAGACACTGTGCAATTTTCATCTCGAGTCAATTCTGATATTCATTTCTTTTCATCTGAAGTTTCATCTTCAAAATGAGCCTGAGATTTTAAAAATCGGTTGGGACGAAAAAAAGTTATGACTGTCTCAAGGTAATCTGCTGTCGAAGTTGAAAAAAAAAGTTTTCGTTCATTTGGGATCCTTTCGAAAATTCAAAAATTCTTCACAGTTTCAGGTGACACCCTGTAGCGAGTTTATATGAAGAACCTCATGTTTCAAAGAAGTACGAGCTTATAGCTGAAGGACTGGGCTAGAGAAACCTTGTGAACCAAATTCAAATTGTTCAAAGCAGAAAAAAGTTATTCATATTTTAACAGTGGGTTGAAATTTAAGACTAATCACCTTATCTAGGAATGCGGGCTGAATATAAATATAATATACCATAGGAAATTATACAATTAGTACAGGGTATTTCGAGACAAATGTTCAATCTGAGTTTGTGGATAATAATAAGAGTTTGACAATTCGTGTGTGACCATTTCATAGAAATGTTGACGACTTCGAAAATTTCTCTCTCAGTTGCGGTACCTAGCCTAGCACAGTCAGCGATACGAATTGACCAAGTTTCTTCGGGTTTTTTCTAATCGCATACATTTCTCACAAAAAATACGTATATGTATATGAAAATGAATCAAAGGAGTACCTGCTCTAAGATTTCTAAACTCATTCCTCATCGACGAATTCGATCACAGTTGGTATCGAATGAAATCTCTTATTTTTTTTTCTATTTTGCAGTATTCTTGATCAACGTCCTGAGAGTGATCCTAACTATCATGCATCCAAATTCTCCGAATCCAGCGCCGGTCGGGATGCGACGAGCCGTCAGAGCAGCGCTAATTTTGATTCCTCTCTTCGGACTTCAGTTCATCTTGCTGCCGATGATTCCTGGTAACCAGCACCCGCTCTTCCACTTTTATATGTGGTTATGCTTGGTCATCGTACCTTTCCAGGTGAGTTTCACCACTAACTAAACTGATTTTTAACACCTCGACACGTGATTCGCTAGTTGTGTTACCATCTTCAGGAGAAGATTAGATCTTAAGATAGTTTCGCCGGATCCATTGGAGACTAGCCGTACTAGACGTAAGATAGCCGAATCATCAGTGGCGGATTAAGACGTTCAGGAGATAAAAAATTCAGAGTGCTCAGAAAATACCGTTATACAAGGTGTGATGTCATCATAACAATAATTATCTATAATGCCCCTGTATATATTGACCCTGTGTATATATTGAAACAAAAGATAAATGTCAGAGATAAAGAAGAAAGGGTTTGTCAGAGACTTTGAATAAAAGCTGATATTTTGAAAACGAGATTAATTGACGAAAAACACGACTCAACAACAAGGTGCCCAGAACAACGTACCATAAATTCCACAGGGTGAAATAATGACGAAATTAGGCCGATTTAAATCAACTTAACTCTACAGTGTTATTCATTAATTTTGCATCATATGGCAGTTGCCCCTCGTGCCATGTGGTTAATTCGGCTCTGCGACAGATCTGTCTGACCAGCAAGTAAAATATCTCATACCCTAAGTAAATTGAAAGAGTGTGTGGCATTATACAAGGCGTATTTGAAATAAGTACATAATCAGCACATCGATATGATACAGTCTATCGAATATTCCCTTGATATCAGATTTTTTCTAATTCTTCTGATCAACAAGAAATTTCATCTCAGAAATTGATCAAAAAATGAGATGAAATATCAGGTACGCCACTTCGAAACAATTTAAATGATTGAAATCCGCGTGATTGTGCCTTCCGCCGTCTTCCGCACGAAAATATGAACAGAGGTTACCTCAGAATTGCTACAGTGTGGAACTTTGGGTGGAAAATGGGGTCTTACCTCAAATTTTATTTTGATCCCCACATTTTTTTATTGATACCACTCGATAGAATACGTCGAGCTTACTCAAGGCTTGAAATATTTGCACTAATTTCAATGCCACCCTGTATAACGAACCAAAAATTCTCCATAATAGTGAGAACAAATCAACCCCGTGTATAATTGCACCCGTATGTTATGTCCGGGTCATTTTTTTGGAACTGTATTTTCAATCCAACTATACAAGGTATACCAGAATTATGGTCGTATGAAAATAGGAAGAAAAATGTTCCTATCGGCATTTGTCCGCTACCTGGTACAGCTTTGAATGCAGTTTTGTTCACCATTATATTTGCATGTAATCATTGATCCTACAAAATTTGGCACCTATTCCTGAATAATTTGAGAAACTCTTCGTCTTCGTCTTCGTCTTACGATCAATCTCATTTTCAGTACCAGAATATGATTCTTCAAACACTTCCACGTCAAAATGTACTCTTGTTATTACTCCTCAGCAAACCGTATTAGAGAAAGTGTAATTTCTCACTTTGAAGTCCGGAGGAATTATTTTAATTTTTACCGTACCATGAAACGGTTTGAAAGATCAAATCACTATTAACATTATTAACTAGCAAATGTTGTGCTTCTACAATCATCAATGGTAAAACAAAGATAATTCAGGAAAATGCATTTACGGACTTATATAGGTATATCTTCAGAGGGCTGTAGTGAACTTATTTCCTTATTTTCTTATTATCAGCTGTATATATATGAGTTTAACTCGTCCTCCTTGAATGATTCATGTTTTATATATAATCTACAAACATTTTTTATATATCAGTATTTTTATATATATCAGTATTCATCTCACTCTGTATTCAACATCTTCAAATGAGTCAACCATCATCTATGACATTTTTTTGTCAAATCATTTCATTTTTATTTATACACCTATGTTTCCTTTTTGTGCTAATTTTAAATAGAATTTCATGTTTGTAAGTATACCAATTTCATTTGATGTACATTTATATTCTAATATTATTGTTCCATTCGATGTTTTCAGTTAGTCTTGATAAAGAAAATAAAAATTTTCGAAAGCTCGACAAATAACGAAGAAATCTAATTAATTCATTGGTCCAGACTGCATCCCACTAATATTTCCAAGAATATATGAGTTTATGAATGTTAATCTGGAAGACCCTGTATATCATGATTGATATTCCCAATAAGTTTGAATAATTTCAATAACTCTTTTAAAAGGTGTCAAGAATTTCAAAATATATTTTCTCGATATTGAATACGAATGAGTTGTCCTTTATGGTATTCAATAACCTGGAATCATGTTGTTGCGGAAGATCACTGAAGGAACTTTTCGTCATGCTATCCTAAATGGCGCCCATGACATAATTTTGAAATAAAATTATCATTTCAGAACTCATTCCATTGGGATAAATGTTGATAGAACAAATTAACTTCGTTTTCTAGCTATTCGAAATGTTTTAACCTTTCAACCTTATAAAAGACTAACTATGCTATTGAATTTTACAAGTGATGAAAAAGTAACAGCAGAATGAGAGATGAAAATATAAACTCGTTTCAAAATCACTTCCTTCAGTAACCTTGTTTGGGATTCTTTGAAAAGTAGAACGGTGTGACACAAATTTACATAATAAGGAAAGTTCTTCGTCTCAGAGTTCTCTAGCACACTCTGAATTCATTTCCGTTCGACACTTGCAACTTCTTTTTTGCGGTGAAATGCTCACGAAGCACAGATCTGAAAAAATACTTATGGATTCTTCTCATGAAGACACACACAGGTGAAAAGTCAGCAGTAACTCAATGTTCCATCTGTTTCAGGCACTGTGAGTACTGAAGGAAACAAAATATAGACCAGGCGCTGATGACAGGTGACGTTCCACGTTCTACCATGGGCTTATATCACAAAAAAAAAATGTATTTCATAATTCGATAGAACTCACCCAAACTAGCTTATCACTTGCTGTGAGCTCCCTACGTTTTATAAAAAATTATTGAAATCCCCGATTTTTCGGACCTCTGAAAACGAGGCGATGATGTGACGTCAAAACCCTAATACCGAAACAAGACTATTCCAGACAGAGATGAATGATACATGATTTCTGACAGAGTGAATTAGCGCGAGATCACAGTTGAAAGAATTAATATATCAGTTGCCTCAGTCTCCGTCGGGCGTTTGGTATTTTCTCTTAACTATGGCGAGATGAGGTTTCTACGTCATGAGAGGGTCCGTTTTCAGAAGGTACTATTATTTATGTCCAAAAATAAAACAGTCCAGTTGATTTTTCGATCGAATTATGTGGTCAATCATTATTAATGTATGAAAGGATCATTATAAACATGGCTTGAGTTAAAAGTTCTACTAAGGTGTACACGCCCATTGTACAGTGCATGCCTTTTCAAAGCTTTATAATTCATCACATAATCCCAAAATATGAAAAATAGACGAGTCTCTGGCCGCCCCACGTGTGCTCTTATAATGAAAAGCGCTTTTCTAGAAGAAGTTTCGTGCTTTCCCACGACATTATACTGCCTGTCGTTGTAATATACGGTATTTCAAACGAACTGAATCGCTCATAATTGATGGCATGCAATCAGCAGCGGCCATAAGGGCTCAACAGGGTTACGAAAAGAAGAAGAAATTCCGTGTTTTCAAATTGCACGCCTATGTAAAGAATTTAGGTTTTTGTAAATATTATTTATTTATTTATTTATTTATTTATTTATTTACATAGGTTACCCAACAGGACAAGCCCAATAACAGGATAACACACGATAACAATAAAAATAACAATTGTGTAATCTTGAAATACCAAAAAAAAAATTGAGAGGATATAAAAAAAAAAAAAAACTTAATCTAGTTTACAGATCCAAAGCAAAATATATGAAATTCGGCTAAGTGAGCATAATACAAGTGTTTAAGAACTTCCTCAGTTTCTTTCTGAAGCACTCAACGCTAAGCATAAAAATGTCCAAATCATCAGATATCATGGTGTTGATTGTGACCGTACATCTAATCATTGGAGAATTACCAAAATAATTTGTGGAAAAATAAGGAGTAACAAATAGTTGTCTATGACGAATATTATATGAGGAACAGTTTAGTGTAAAAAGTTTTGAACATTCATTGGAATCAATTAGATTATTAAATATTTTGTAAATAAAGTATATATCATTGAAATCACGCCTAAGAGATAGGCTCACTAGATTATAGAAAATTAGGTTACTTTCATAAGGAAAGTAGTGCCTATATCTGAAGAATCTTTAATTTATAATGTTGATTAACTTCTTTTGCACAAACTCTAGTCTCTTTATGTATTTCTGATAAGATGGGTTCCAAACAACACTACAGTATTCAAGGATAGGTTTTATCAAAGTGTTAAACATAGTCAGTAACGAGGAAGGATTCCTAAAATCCCTAGTATTTCTCAATATGAAGCCAAGAGTCCTTAGGGACTTTCTCACAATTTTCTCAACTATCTCATCAGAAAACGACAGTTTATCATTGTCAATATTGAGCGAAGAGATGGGTGGATTCGGGCTACGAGTAAATATGATTTGACTACATTTCTTAGTATTTAGTGAAAATTTATATATTTTACAATATTCCGAAAAGCGATCGAGGTCCTCCTGTATTAAACTATAATCCGAGAGAGATTTTAAAGGAGAGAAAATTTTCATATCATCGGCATATAATGAGATATTGCAGTGATGGAAACAGCTCCCGACGTCACTTACATAGATACTAAATAGTAGCGGCCCTAGATGGGAGCCCTGAGGAACCCCCGAGGTAACTGGCAGCAAATCAGACTTTGTGTTATTCAGTGCTATGTACTGAAATCTGTCCTGAACATATGAAGTAACAAGTCCCAGCAGGTAACCATGCACACCGAAATTTCTAAGCCTCATTAACAAGGTAGGATGATGAACCTTGTCAAAAGCCTTAGAAAAATCGGTGTACACCGCACAAGTTGAGAGGCAAAATAGAGGCATGCATGACGAAAATTGCAAAAAACACAACCCCATTGAATTTTTACAGTTTCTATAGAGAGAAATCCATCTATTTTTTATATTTTTGGGTTAA